CTACAGGCTTCTGACTTGAGACAGGCACATAAGAATGTGGTGGGGTTAAACATGTTTGAAGGTCTGTTTCTCAAATACTATAAGCAGTAGGTCAACTATATGTGGTGTATGGAATGATTGTAAGGGGTACATGTCAGTCTGGAAGGTTTTATCTGACCTTGACCTCATTTTCATGGTTCATTGGTCAATGTTAAGTTTTTGTGTTTTGATCTGTTTTTTCAAAAACTATAAGCATATGTCAAGTAAATGTGGTGTATGGACTGATTGTAAGGTGCACATGTCTGTCTGACAGGATTTATCTGACCTTGACCTCATTCTGGGGAAAACTGACTGAAAGGCACCAATAGGAGTGGAGTCTGCGGCTCAATTTGATTCAACATGGATTGTCATGGATCTTCAAAAATGGAGATATATGCCTTGAAAATAAAAATTATCTGAATAATTGCATTTAAACTGAATGCATGTGAATTCATTAAAAAGTTTAAACGAGCTTTAAAATTTTTTTTGGAATAATTGCACTTGGACAGGTAAAATATGTGCATCAACAAAACAATCGAGAAAAATATCCTTCAAAATAAGAGGTGCACACTTCACTGTGAAATCAGTGTGAATTGTTTGAATAAAGTTGAAGGAAATCTGTTTTAAATACAGGTGACACAAACTTGTTAAAATGACCCGTTCCACACATGGGATCCTGAGAAAAAAAAATATCTAAAAAGCAAAAAAAAAAGATTAACATCAACAAATTACTATACATGATTTGTTCCTATCAAAAGAAGTAATAGAAACAAGATGAAGTTATTTATCTTCTTTGTTCAGCTGAGGTAAACTCAGGTTTAGAGGCCCTTGTATGAATATGAATGGAGGGAGTATGTATATGCCAACGAAACAGGCACCCAGAATCTCCTTAGAAACCATGTAGAGGTCAACATAGTCTTTGAGGTTAACAAGATACAAAGATCTATGCCAGGTCTCACCTCTTTGATGTCAACAAGATACAAAGATCTATGCCAGGTCACACCTCATTGATGTCAACAAGATACAAATATCTATGCCAGGTCACACTTCTTTGTTGTCAGCAGGATACAAAGATCTATACCAGGTAACACCTCTTTGTTGTCAACAGGATACAAAGATCTATACTAGGTCACACCTCTTTGTTGTCAACAGGATACAAAGATCTATATCAGGTCACACCTCTTTGTTGTCAGCAGGATACAAAGAATTATTCCAGGTCACATCTCTTTGTTGTCAGCAGGATACAAAGATCTATACCAGGTCACACCTCTTTGTTGTCAGCAGGATACAAAGATCTATACCAGGTCACACTTCTTTGTTGTCAGCAGGATATAAAGATCTGTACCCGGTCACACCTCTTTGTTGTCAACAAGATACAAGATCCATGCCAGGTCAAACCTAGTTGCTGTCAACAAGATACAAAGATATATACCAGGTCACACCAGACACACCTCTTTGTTGTCAGCAGGATACAAAGATCTACACCAGGTCACACCTCCTTGTTATCAACAGGATACACAGATGTATACCAGGTCACATCTCTTTGTTATCAACAGGATACAAAGATCTATGCCAGGTCAAACCTCTTTGTTGTCAGCAGGATACAAAGATCTATACCAGGTCACACCTCTTTGTTGTCAGCAGGATACAAAGATCTATACCAGGTCACACTTCTTTGTTGTCAGCAGGATACAAAGATCTATACCAGGTCACACTTCTTTGTTGTCAGCAGGATACAAAGATCTATGCCAGGTCACACTTCTTTGTTGTCAGCAGGATACAAAGATCTATACCAGGTAACACCTCTTTGTTGTCAGCAGGATACAAAGATCTATACTAGGTCACACCTCTTTGTTGTCAACAGGATACAAAGATCTATATCAGGTCACACCTCTTTGTTGTCAGCAGGATACAAAGAATTATTCCAGGTCACATCTCTTTGTTGTCAGCAGGATACAAAGATCTATACCAGGTCACACTTCTTTGTTGTCAGCAGGATACAAAGATCTATACTAGGTCACACCTCTTGGTTGTCAACAGGATACAAAGATCTATATCAGGTCACACCTCTTTGTTGTCAGCAGGATACAAAGAATTATTCCAGGTCACATCTCTTTGTTGTCAGCAGGATACAAAGATCTTTACCAGGTCACACTTCTTTGTTGTCAGCAGGATACAAAGATCTGTACCCGGTCACACCTCTTTGTTGTCAACAAGATACAAGATCTATGCCAGGTCAAACCTAGTTGCTGTCAACAAGATACAAAGATATATACCAGGTCACACCAGACACACCTCTTTGTTGTCAGCAGGATACAAAGATCTATACCAGGTCACACCTCTTTGTTATCAACAGGATACAAAGATCTATACCAGGTCACATCTCTTTGTTATCAACAGGATACAAAGATCTATGCCAGGTCAAACCTCTTTGTTGTCAGCAGGATACAAAGATCTATACCAGGTCACACCTCTTTGTTGTCAGCAGGATACAAAGATCTATACCAGGTCACACTTCTTTGTTGTCAGCAGGATACAAAGATCTATACCAGGTCACACTTCTTTGTTGTCAGCAGGATACAAAGATCTATGCCAGGTCACACTTCTTTGTTGTCAGCAGGATACAAAGATCTATACCAGGTAACACCTCTTTGTTATCAACTGGATACAAAGATCTATGCCAGGTAACACCACTTTGTTGTCAACAGGATACAAAGATCTATACCAGGTCACATCTCTTTGTTATCAACAGGATACAAAGGTCTATGCCAGGTCAAACCTCTTTTGTTGTCAGCAGGATACAAAGATCTATACCAGGTCACACTTCTTTGTTGTCAGCAGGATACAAAGATCTATACCAGGTCACACCTCTTTGTATCCAATAAATAAATGGATTCGTATTAAGTTAATTATCCTAGTCTAGTCTTAGATGCATGATTTTTTTTTATTAGTTGTTAGTGGCTTTGAACTAGCTGTCAGTAACTGTGAGTACTCTCAGATCTGAACTTAGTGTCTTTTTGTTGTTTGGATGTATAAGTACCAGGCCAGGTCCACTTGTAATTGTAGCATTTATATTTTTATCCATCTGATGAGTTAAGCCTCTTTCAACTGAATTTTATAGTTCGTTCTTATGTTGTACTGTTACACCACTGTCCCAGGTTAGGGGGAGGGTTGGGATCCCGATAACATTCTGTATGTATGTGCCTGTCCCAAGTCAGGAGCCTGTAATTCAGTGGTTGTCGTTTGTTTATGTATTACATATTTGTTTTTCGTTCATTTTTTGTACATAAATTAGGCCGTTAGTTTTCTCGTTTGAATTGTTTTACATTGTCAATTCAGGGCCTTTTATAGCTGACTGTGCGGAATGGGCTTTGCTCATTGTTGAAGGCTGTACGGTGACCTATAGTTTTTAATTTCTGTGTCATTTGGTCTCTAGTGGAGAGCTGTCTCATTGGCAATCATACCACATCTTCTTTTTTATATCTCCTGTATATTTATAGGGTATATATAACAAGAATGTACTTTTTAAGTTTTCACACCGGGATGATGTTTACATGAGCTACTGTATATAAAAATAAGAAGATGTGGTATGATTGCCAATGAGACAACTCTCCACCAAAGATCACATGATGTAGAAGTTAATAACCACAGGTCACTGTGTGTTTCTGATAAATTTTGTGACTTTGTCTTTTATTGGTTGATTTAGTACTATATATTCTATATCAATATTTTTTCTACAATTTCCTCTCCATTATAATGTAGTGTAGGTTATGTTCTTGTCTTTTATTTTGTTTTTACATGAGATAATATGTAAATTTATGTTTTTTTGTTGTTGCAAAATTAGTAAAAGAAAGTCCCACTTAACAGTAACATATTTAGTATTTACACAAGAGTGCACACGCTGAAATGTCTCGCCTCCTTTACTAATCATTGATATTATGTTGATAGTCCTAAATATAAAGCTTTATTACAACTGTCACATAAACTTAACATTAACCAAGTTAACTAAACATTGACCAATGAACCATGAAAATGAGGTCAAGGTCAGATGAACCATGCTAGGCAGGTATGTACAGCTAACAATTCTTCCATACAACAAATATAGTTGACCTATTGCTTATAGTTTAAGAAAAACAGACCAAAACACAAAAACTTAACACTGAGCAATGAACCTTGAAAATGAGGTCAAGGTAAAAAAAACCTGCGTGACTGACAAATGGATCATAAAATATTTCCATACACCAAATATAGTTGAACTATTGCATATAGTATTAGAAAAAAAGACCAAAACTCAAAAGCTTAACTTTGACCACTGAACCATGAAAATGAGGTCAAGGTCAGATGACACCTGCCAGCTAGACATGTACACCTTACAATCATTCCATACACCAAATATAGTAGACCTATTGCATACAGTATAAGAAAAACAGACCAAAACACAAAAACTTAACTATAACCACTGAACCATGAAAATGAGGTCAAGGTCAGATGACACCTGCCAGTTGGACATGTACACCTTACAGTCCTTCCATACACCGAATATACTAGACCTATTGCTTATTGTATCTGAGATATGGACTTGACCACCAAAACTTAACCTTGTTCACTGATCCATGAAATGAGGTCGAGGTCAAGTGAAAACTGTCTGACGGGCATGAGGACCTTGCAAGGTACGCACATACCAAATATAGTTATCCTATTACTTATAATAAGAGAGAATTTAACATTACAAAAAATCTTAACTTTTTTTTCAAGTAGTCACTGAACCATGAAAATGAGGTCAAGGACATTGGACATGTGACTGACGGAAACTTCGTAACATGAGGCATCCATTTACAAAGTATGAAGCATCCAGACCTTACACCTTCTAAAATATAAAGCTTTTAAGAAGTTAGCTAACGCCGCCACCGCCACCGCCTGATCACTATCCCTATGTCGAGCTTTCTGCGACAAAAGTTGCAGGCTCGACAAAAACTAAGAAATCTGGTCCAACAATTGTTTATTGCACAATTAGTCATCTTACAAATAAATATGTCAATACAATTGATGTACAAATGAAGAATTTTTTCACAAAGGAAATATACATTCAATTCTGTTTCACACCAACTCTATTATTTTTCTCATTGATGATCTCAAGATTTATTTCTGAATAAACTATAAATGCAGATCTTTTGGTATCAAAACCTTGTACCATGATTGATAAAGACACCTTATTTGTCTACTTACCCATTATACTTTCTTTCGCACTCTATTAGTATGAACAATTTTCAATGGTACTATTATTTTTACACTTTTGAAGATACATTATGAAAATAGAAAACTTAGTAATATGAAAAGAGATTCACTTCACTGTGCTCTTAAAAAGATACCAAACATTCTTATGATCAAGTTTCTCCGCATTCAAGCACATTGATGATCCAGTTCCACAAACATCAGATGACTAAGATTTATGTACCCATACATTTTTTTACAAATTTAATGACAACAAATGAAAACTGGAAATAGTTTATTTCTTTTTCTTTGCTTTCTGTTGATCTGTTGATTCAACTGTTTCTACAGATTTCTGCCAAACAATATTCATTCTTCTGAACATTGGCCATGGTGGTAGTGTTAACTGAAATATAAATATGTATTTGGAAAAAAAAGGAAAGAATAATATGATTTTTTCTAAACATTTAGACTAAGGGAGCTACCATTTGATTACTAGTGGGTGGGGGGGGGGGGGGGGGCTAGGATGAAAAATTTTGTCCTGTTTTTTTTTTTTTAGTTGAAATCTCTGTCCTGCATTTTTATTTTTCACTCTATTCGGTCCTGCCTTTTTTATTAGTTTATCCTGACTTTTTTTACATAAATTGTCATCCTGCCTTTTTTGTTGCCAAGTTGCTCATCCTGCCTTTTTTTTTTTAACTCAAAACTCCTTTCCTGCCTTTCTTTTCAAATTTCATCCTAGCCCCTAATTTTGTATACATTTAGAGCTTGTTCACTGCTTTTTTACATACATTATATACATTTACACTTAAATGAGCTTCTGTGCACATGGTTGTCTTTAGTAACTTGGTAGTAACATTGATGACAACTGATATGCTGTAAGTGTAATGATTAAGTGCCAACCTTAGAATCAGGCAGTGGTGAAAACACGACAGATAAAAACCCACTCAAGTTGACATTAATTTATGTTCAAAATGTATAATGATGCACGAATATTTGTTCCCTTTTCCAGTTCTGGTAATTCAAGTTATAATTTGGTTGAAATGCACTAGAAATTAACAATTAAGGGGAGATAACTCCGTAATTTGTTATCATTCTAACCAAAATTTATCTAGATATTTCTCAAATTACCAGACACGCAGAAAACAAAAGACGTACCATTTCTAACTCAGGATGAGGGTACCTTCAAAATAGGGTGGTTCGATCAGTGGTTTTTTTTTCGGTCATGTTTTTTAGAATTTTTTCTAAATTGCCTGATTCTTACAAAGACTGGCACTTAAGTTTCTATGACTTGACCATTCAAGACAATATGAATCAAGCTTCAATTTTTAAGTATATATTATACATGATGTGTAAAGATTTGGTTTGTATAACCTTACCAAACAAGACAATATAAATCCAGCTATCAATATATACATGGTCTGTGAAAACTGTTGACATATGTAACCCCATCCAAATCCAACAATCTGAAAAATAACTTGTCATTTTAAAACAATCCCAACGATTCCAATCCCTTCTGAATAATTTTTGAATGTAAAAGTGAAAAAAAAAAAATCAACATTTGCCCTTAAAAGTTTTATAATTGTTGGAATAAAACCTCTTGACTGAGTCTTGAGAATTGTGTTTTGTACTTAAACCAAAATAAAAAATGCCCTTACACATGTTAAAAACTTTTTTCAGAAGAACAAAATAAAGGCTATGATTTGTTTAATTATTTTCTATATCTCCCGTCAGAAAAGGTTAACAAAAAGTATATCACATTCAATGTACTGGTGTCTCTAGTAGAGCTGGAACTGTTGACCCTTCTGGAGAACCTGTCTTCAACCTGGTGTCTTTAGTACAGCTGGAACTGTTGACCCTTCTGGAGCACCTGTCTTCAACCTCAATTTGTCATGAGGTTCATATTTCTCAATCTTTAGTTTACTGGCTCAATCTATAGTTTTATGTGTAATGTTTTGTGAAAGTTTGTTTGACTTTTTGTCTTTTTTTTCCTCGTCTGACAATGGATTTGTCTGTATTTTCTTGATCTTTAGTTTTTGATCCCCCCTACCCTTTTGGTATCTTTCAACAGCAGAGGTCATTATTACTTAATGCTTGACAACAATAAATAAACAATATTACCAGTTATTTTTTTTAACTGGGAGATTGCGACATGCATCTGAACAATTCCATTAAGCCAGGATGTTTGAATTTTTCAGGTAGAACATGTTCAGTATGAAAACACTGCATGTATTAAAGAAAAATGGCTTAAACAGACAAAAATATGTGGTTTCTTCAAAACCAATCATTAACATGATTAATAATTCTTGATCTTCTTAAAGTTATAAAACCTAAAATTATTGACATTTTCAGTTATAACTAGACATACCCCAAAAACTAAAATTATGACTTGAAATAATCTTTCTGCTCTTTTCTGTCCTTCAAAATCCTAAAAAATAGAAGATACAATGAATTCTACACAACATAAACAAACATTAAATTTAACCCTCTTTTGTTGTTTACCTTAAGATATCTTTTGGTGTTTTGTTTTAGTTGCTGTCTCATTGAACTTTATCCCACAGGTTCTTTCTATTTCATATTTCAAATTTTTATATATACAAATCAATAACAGAGACATGTATACTACATGGGTACTATATAAGTCTTTGTTAATAAATACAATGAAATATATGCAATATTATCTTAAGATTTAATATATATCATGTATATATAATACAAATTACATACAGGTAAACGTCGATACCAAACAACACAAGTTAACCCACAACAGACATCAACAGTAAGATTACAACATTTATTAAAGGACAACAAAAACTCCACATATATATGACATTCTTTAACAAGGCTCGTTTTTTATATAGATTAGACTGTTGGTTTTTCCGTTTGAATGGTTTTACTCTAGTTTTGGGCCCTTTATAGCTTGCTGTGCGGTGTGAGCCAAGGTTCCGTGTTGAAGACCGTACTTTGACCTATAATGGTTTACTTTTATAAATTGTGACTTGGATGGAGAGTTGTCTCATTGGCACTCATACCACATCTTTTTATATCTATTAGCTGTCAAATCCATGTTCAGTTGACCATTATCATGTTTATTGATAACAAACTTAAAGAGAATATCAAAATTACAAAAAGTCCAATATGAACAATTAACAATGCATGAGCTCGCTATGATGTATGAGCATTTCATACGTACAGCTAATGCCCCTTTAATATTTACTCAATCATTTTTTTATATAAAAATTAGGGAAAACAAACCTATGGCGACTGACTCTGTGGGCGAATGGACCAAGACTAACATGTAATTAGGGCAAACGGGGTAACACGAATGACCGAATAACACCGTTATTATCCAAATAACACTTATAATGACCGAATAACACTTGAAATTTTAATATTAGTACTAATTGGTGACTTTTAAACATTGATTATTAAATAATACTATATTATAAGTGTATTTTATAACTTAAAAATGATTAACAGAAAGCAGGTAAGTTCATAAAGATCGTTTTAAATTTAGTGTGTACATTTGTACATCCATCATGGCGACTATTGTGATTTCCTTTGTCGCCATGTTGGATGTACACACTATATTTTAAATAATCTTCGTGAACTTACCTGCTTTCTGAAAATAATTTTTAAGTTATAAAATACATTAATAATATACTATTATTTATTAATCAATGTTTAAAAGTCACCAATATGTGCTAATATTAAAATTTCAAGTGTTATTCGGTCATTACAAGTGTTATTCTGATAATAACCGTGTTATTCGGTCATTCGAGGTACCTGAGCAAATGGACCCTACAGTCCAAATTTTATTGTGTTTGTTTAAATAGACAACGATGCATTTCCGTCAAAAACTCTGGTTTTAGTGAACATCATTCGTGCATTTAGGGGCATCCTCACTTCCGTTCCAATGTTGAGCGAGTGGTTGGAAAACTATAATGCTATATTGCACGAATTATTCGGCAAATTAAATTCTCATAATTGACAACCAGCACTGCTGTCATTAGGGAATAGTGATTAAGTATTTACAAAACAAACATTATTTCTAGTTTAATCCTGCACAATGACGATCATTAAGACGCTTGATGAACGTTAATAGTGCAGGGATACAGGCGATCCCCTCTATCTGGTAAATGTCATCAAAGAGGCGCGCATAATTGACGAGATTTTTCCGGTGAAGGATGATTTCGAAAGTGGTCTATTGCCTTAAATTTTTCAATTTTGAAAGTTTTTTTTCATGTGTACAGTACAAAGCTAAGGTTTCTTGTAATTTCTTAAGAAATTAAAGCTATGTATCTTCATCGTAAATATGAACACTTTCAGGTTTACATTCACAAATGATATTGAAATTAAACATGTGTTAACAGCTGTTATCGAAAGAAGCAAGATAAAAAGATTTCCCTGCATCAAACCATTAGCATGTCGAATAATTTTAGTTACCATGTGCAGAGGAACTTTTTTAAATGCTTCTGGAAGAAATCTTTCGAGATCCATCGTGTTGGATGTATGGGGAAAATCTGATTTCAGCTTTTACTTTACAGGAAGTTGTCGTGTCAAAAATAAATGAGGAGTTATCGTTCTTACGACGAAAACTATGACTCAAGTTAGGAAACAGAACTCGATATCCGTAATCTACTACTATTTTTTTGTACTAATTTTAAAATTGGAAATGAATCACAAAATCATTATGCTTATTGTTATAAAGATATGATTGTAAAAAAGACAACTATCCACCTGAAGACCAAAGGACAAAAATGAAAACAAAAAAGGTGAAATTTATTATAAATCCCTTGTTTTTTAGACTGAGGTTTTCACCGAGAGCAGTCTTGTTCTATCATTTGATTTCAGCGGTAATTTCATAATAAACGTTAAAAGAAATAAAATATTTTTAATCGTAAAGTCATAAAAAATAAATGAATAAATAAAATAATATAAAAGTGAAATTCAATTCAATTCAATTCAATTCAATTCAATTCAATTCAATTCAATTCAATTCAATTCAATAAACTGCATAAAACACAAGCGTTTAACTGGAGATAACCTGGACCTTTTTATAGATTATTTTTAAATGTTTCTGTTGTAATATTTATAGATATTATTCTCCTAATTTTAGAGATAATTTTTATCTTTTGGCAGACTTTCGTTTTTTCCTATAGTAGGATTTATTACTCACATATACACATATGCATATATAAACATTATGTTGTTAACCTGCCTAGCATGCTTAAATATTTGCCGACATTCGTTTAAGCTGAATATTTAATTGTCTTGATGCCTTTTAACATATATTTCAGATATATGACTGTTCAAAGTTTAAGTCAGGATCTACGGTAAATCCCACATGTAAAATTTTTATTCTAAAAATGCATAATTAAAATTCAATTATCTTTTATTTGTTTTCTATAACTATTAGCATTTACTTTTCCTTAGTGCTGGTTCCGCATGCACGATTAGAATGATACATGTTTTCTCATTGGTTCAGTGAATTCCTTTTTTTTCCCGGCTTGTCCAGTTCAATTGGTCCTACTGGTAATTTCTACTCAGTAAAGTTTTCCTTTCAAATCACTATATTCGTATGGTCATTATTCTAATCAGTTTTCTCTGAACAGGTCATAATTTTTATTAAGTTGACGCGTCGATCGACTTAAATTTATAATTCTTGAAATATTTTCAAGCACCTTTAAGTTCTTCAGCCTTTTTAATGCGAGGATCCCGTAAAGGCGAAGTTAAGCCCGTACGCTATAGAGTATTTAATCATTTCTTGAAAACATGCATAAATAATATTGATTTAAATTCGGAACACTACTCCACACATAGTTTCAGAAGAGGTGGAGCGACGTGGGCTTTTAAATGTGGTGTTCCCTCCAATTTAATACAGTTACAAGGAGATTGGAAAAGCTCAGCTTATAAACGTTATTTAAAATATGGGTTATCAGATAAACTTATTGTTGCTAACTGTATGTCTGCTCACTGCTGATCTGTATTATGTCATTTTAGGACAGAAAGCGTGGAACAGGTCGACTATGATTATAGGGGATTCTATAGTCAAATATTTCCCAGAGTTAAAGAATACTACAATTCAAGCTTTTGGAGGACTAACCTCAGAGCGACTTGTCCGTAAGCTGAGCAGATCTGATTTAAATGTACAAGATTTTTGTAATGTAATTATTCATGTTGGTACAAATGATATTTTTCATTTAACTAGTCAGTGGCGGATCCAGAGGGGGCGTAGAGGGCGTACGCCCCCCCCTTTGCTTGCACTTTTTTTTTTGTAAAATGATTAATCAGACTAGACTTCGTGAACTTTGCCATTTCCCGTGTATTTAATTTTTAATTCTTTACTTATAAAGATATTGTTCACTCGTATTTACTGTAATATATTATTGATTGATTATGTCAAAGTCATGTGATTCTCTACGGTGGAGTTGACCAGTTCGTCGAAAAAAACGTACTCAGTCATTTTGAAATTCAAATTACAGTAACAAATTGCTTAGGCTGAGGATGACAAGCATGACGCCTTCAAAACGACAAAGTATTGAGCAAGAATGTATTGACTTCTATTTCACAATTCAACCCAACAGAAAGTAATACTCTATTACACTCTCATGAAAAAAAAAGTTCCACAGCAATATTATTTACCTACGAAAACATGTTTAACCCCACACGCCCCAGCCCATTAATTACATTGCTGAATAGTGATCCCCAGTCAGTAACTCTAGATATAGATTTAAAGTCTAAGGTACGGACCATTTGATCTGAGGGTGCAGTCTGAGATATTTTAGAGAAAAAATTCTGACCCTGATTTTTTCCTTAAACAAAAATTCTGGCCGTATCTGGATTGAAAACAATAATCTTGTCCACATTTTTGCTATTAGAAAAAAATATTTTCAACAGAATTATTTAGCATTAAATGAACATGATGAATAAAAAACGGGCGTAATTTTTTTTTTTTGGGGGGGGGGGGGGGGGGGTTGCATGTGAATCCCATATCTGACCGGAATGTCTGTTTCGCCGAACTGATATACTGAATACTTTTTTCAAGGCCCGACTGCAACCTGCCTGCTGGGTGTGGCCTTTATGTCTCCATGTGTCGACCGTCATTCACAACTTCATTGTCATTTCCGACTCATTCGTAGCCTTTGGTTTATTTGGAACCCCTCACTTCCCTTGTTGGGTGAAACATTCCAACCAAACATTTGGATGAAAATTGCTTGTTTGTCTTTCTTCGTGTCGGTCGTATTGAAAATGTCATTGAATAGCCGTATATCTTGTTTACAACAAGAAATCTGTGAGGTTATGTTAACTAACCATACAACAAACGAGAATTTTCCATGTCCATTTTTTACTGACAAATCCCACATCAAATATATTAATTAGTACATAGCTTTGGATTCATCCAATCATTTCATAATAGACAATTGATGGAGAGAATACGGCACCAAAAATATCTAACCCCTACACTTTAACTATAAAATGTATTTTACACTTATTTTATGTTTTTTAGCAAAAAAAAATTTCGCCTCGCTCCGCTCGGCAACCTTCAATACTACGCCCCCCCTTTCCAAAATCCTGGATCCGCCCCTGCTAGTGGTCAATTTAGATCTAATGTTATTTCTATCATTAATCTCATTGCTTCTGTTAATAGTAATTGTTGCATTTTATTGTCGTCTATTTTACCTAGACCGGTTGATTACAGATTTTCAGAGGTTATACTAGGTAGTTTTAATGCAGAATTAAGGGATTTGGCGTTAAATCACAGTGATCTTAGTATTCAAAGATGTAGAATTCAATTCATGTCTTGTAATAGAACTTTTTACGATAAGTTTGGAAGACCAAAATTTCCTTTATTTGATCAAATTGACCGGCTTCATTTGAATCATGCAGGCATTAATAAAATGGTTCATTTTATTGCTAATACTTTAGCTTATATATAGACAGTAAGTAAGAATTTTAAGGTTTTAAGGGAGGCATATTTTCTCTGACCCCTATATATATCGGGGGAGAGTTAAGTGCTTATCCTTGACCATTTTATGTTGGATTTTAACAGACGGGAGGGTTACTTAAAGCTTATCTCCTTTCTACACTGGAGAGGTTTAAGGCAGCTGACTCCCAATTCGTTAATTTTACACGATTGTTTGGCGGGTTTTTTGAAAGATAGGTTTTCAAGTGTACCTTCTGTTTGAGTAAGTTACATGTACTTGTATTGTGACTGTCATTTGTTTTTGTATTGTGTGTATAATTTATGTTATGTAGACCTGTAAGTTTTTGAGATGCTGATCCAAGCCTAATAAATGTTTTTACATACTTTTCTTTTGTTTGAAATTTGCCAGATAGAGTTAAAAGATTGAAGAGTAATTGTAAAATTTTTATTCTAAAAATGCATAATTAAAATTCAATTATCTTTTATTTGTTTTCTATAACTATTAGCATTTACTTTTCCTTAGTGCTGGTTCCGCATGCACGATTAGAATGATACATGTTTTCTCATTGGTTCAGTGAATTCCTTTTTTTACCCGGCTTGTCCAGTTCAATTGGTCCTACTGGTAATTTCTACTCAGTAAAGTTTTCCTTTCAAATCACTATATTCGTATGGTCATTATTCTAATCAGTTTTCTCTGAACAGGTCATAATTTTTATTAAGTTGACGCGTCGATCGACTTAAATTTATAATTCTTGAAATACCCGCCCACTCAGCCCTAGTTTTATTCTAATTTTTTTTTCTCCCGTGTGTTTAGCGGGTTTTTTGAAAGATAGGTTTTCAAGTGTACCTTCTGTTTGAGTAAGTTACATGTACTTGTATTGTGACTGTCATTTGTTTTTGTATTGTGTGTATAATTTATGTTATGTAGACCTGTAAGTTTTTGAGATGCTGATCCAAGCCTAATAAATGTTTTTACATACTTTTCTTTTGTTTGAAATTTGCCAAGAGTAATCTTCACAAGAAATTTAGTTTTTCGTTTAAGTTGAATGTCAAATTACGTTTATTTGGGTTTTGTTTTCTCTCAAAACAAAGTAATGCTCATTTTGTTTGTCCGGAGCAAAGTAACAATGTTCCGTTGACTTTCAGTCTATATCATTCATGATGATTGAAAATCGCATGAAACTCCAAACAGAGCGAGATAGCGCCCATCGAAATGGTGAATGTCACATGCTATCGTGCATGAATGCATCAACTGTCAAGCGACTCGGTCAAAACTTGGACTTGAACACTAACAAACATAATTTAGTTGTATGTTAATCAGATGTCGAAATAGTATATAGTACACAATTGGTCTAGTAAATGACAGATCCGACGTCTATTCTGGTATCTTAAAATAGTATATAGCGGGACACAATTGGTCTGGTGAATGACAGATCCGACGTCTATTCTGGTATCTTAAAATAGTATATAGCGGGACAAAATTGGTCTGGTAAATGACAGATCCGACGTCTATTCTGATATCTTAAAATAGTATATATGACACAATTGGTCTGGTAAATGACAGATCCGACGTCTATTCTGATCTTAAAATAGTATATAAGACACAATTGACCTGGTAAATGACAGATCCGACGTCTATTCTGGTATCTTAAAATAGTATATAGGACAC